ACGGTAACCAAGTTTCTGAGACAACAATAACATCCGGTTTATCTTTATCCACCAATGACTTGAGCTCTGCCATTTTGTTTAGTAGGTGGCGAGCATTTGTGTATCATACCTTTAAGTCTGTGGAGAAGTTTCCCTTACCATCCAGAGTGGTTTGAGAATCGTTTCGCTTCGAACTTTTACAATTTGAAAACCCTTAAAACAGGTTTTCCTTCATCGTTTCGACGGCGCTCGTTTATTTCCACTTCTGCAGCTCGTCTCTTAATACGATCAGCTAGGGTGAGATCCTCACGGAAGTGTATTCCGGATCCAACCAGTATACGTGAGTTACCTAGAATCAGGTTCCATTGATCAACCGTGGCAAACATAACGTTCAAGTGGTAGCTTCTCTTAGGAGTTTCAGAATCCAGCTTTTGTCCTATTTTTTAGGCTTACAAATGCTAATTCCATGTTCACAAACCTGACCTTTGCATTCAAAAGAAATTTGTTCGACCACTTTCGCTGCTTTGGCCATCGGTATAACATTCCCTTCAACAGAACTACTTTCCATACTTCTCACAATTGAGTTTTTTAATTTTGTTGTTTTTTTGTTTCGTTTTGTTTTTTTAAACTTTAATTTCTCAACATTCACCTCTTGATTCTTACGTAACTACTATTCTATTGACCATCGATTACAAAAAAATTTTGTTTCTTCTCTTTTCATATATTATGCAACATAGCAACTTCTTGATTTAATAATTACTTTGAATATTAATAATCATCTTTCTTCCAGACTACTCGATGTTAATTTAAAGGTCATTATGTAATTATTACGTAACATATCCACTCAATGAGTATTATATCATTATTGTAAACCATATATATATTAGTGTAGAGCCATGATGAAAAACTAATTGAAAAGAAATTTCTTCGCTCAATTCGTTTCTTCTGTATTTATCAAATGTCTAAATGGGAAATTTCACTATATGGAAACGTTCTGAGCATTCAGTTGCGTTAAAGGTTCTCAACGAGTATCTGAAGTATGGCGCAAGTCTCAGTGAGGCGATGACAAATGTCGATTTTATAAAGGAGTGCATAGAAACCAACTTGTATCCGAAATTGTATTAGAAATCTTTACGTCGCTCTCGAGTTCGACCAAATGGAAGGACTCTCAAACGTTACGCTCTTAATTAAATTGATTCTCTAAACTCATACATTACCGAGATGATAAAAAATGTCAACGAGAGAATTTACGCGGTAGAAGATCTCCCTGACAAATTAAGAGAACAATATCTGGAATATGTTGAGATGGTAGTTAACTCAAGAAAAGAAAAGAAGAAGATGAAACTTAAGAAAAATCTAGACAAACAGATTCCAGAAATGAAATTTCCGTCCAATCCAGGTCAGTATGTACACAATTTTTCTAGTGTTATGCTGGATAAAACTGAGTTAGAAGCGTTATCATTAGGCCCTAAGTTTTGTGACTAAGAAAACAGTCAATAAAATGGACATTGAAATTCAATTTGAAAATCTTTATGCTCAAACGGCAGAACTAGTAACTTCATCAAAAGAAAATGTCGAAAGATTTAAATCAACACTAGTTGACTGTTGCTTCAAATACTTAAATCATGGACATAATATGAAAGGGATTTTAACAAAAAAACATTTAGAAGCGTTAAGAAAACTTAAAACTAATGACAATTTATTAATCACGAAACCGGAAAAAGGACATGGGATACTACTCATGGATAAAAATAACTATATAAACAAAATGAAAGCCCTTTTAAATGATAAAAGCAAATTTCAGAAACTGGTTGTGAAGAACGACATAGTAGACAAGATTTAAAAACAACTAACAGATTCACTGAAAGAAATTAAACAACAAGGATTTATTTCAGAAAAAGAGTTCGAAATGTTGAAACCTACAGGAACGATTACACCAAGGCTATATGGCCTGCCAAAAATACACAAAAGTGGCTTGCCCCTTTGACCAGTTTTAGATATGAATAACTCAGCGTATCATACTATAGCAAAATGGTTGGTGCAAATTCTCAAACCATTACACAAAGAAATTGTCAAACATAGTGTCAAGGATCCTTTCGAATTTGTAGAGAATATAAAAAATCTATCGGTCAAGAATAATTGCATGATATCGCTTGATGTATCATCCCTATTCACTAACATTCCACTACTTGAAACGGTAGACTTTATTTGCAAAGAATTAACAGTGAGGCACATTGAAACCGCAATCCCCACATCCGCATTAAAACAGTTAATTCTTAAATGCTTAATGAATGTACAATTCAGATTCGACAACGAATACTATAGACAACTAGATGGAGTTGCCATGGGGTCACCATTGGGCCCTCTACTGGCTGACATTTTCCTTGCAAAGCTGGAAAATGGACCACTTAAAAAACACTATTAGCCATTTACCAACTTATTATCGCTACATAGACGATACTTTCATAGTGTTAGAAAAAGAGCATGATAAAGACAATTTACTTAATACATTTAATAACGTTCATCCATCTATTAATTTTACATCAGAAGATGAACAGAACAATAGCATATCGTTTTTAGATGTCCAACTAACTAGACGAGCAGACGGAACTTTAAAAAGAGGATTACACAGAAAGTCGGCAACAGGTCAATACACCCATTTCTACAGTGCAGTGCCAATCAGATACCAAAGGAACTTGATAAAAATATTGACCCATCGTGAGACTTTTCACAACAATATTATCCGGTTTATCTTTATCCCCCAATGACTTGAGCTCTGCCATTTTGTTTAGTATGTGGCGAGCATTTGTGTATCATACCTTTAAGTCTGTGGAGAAGTTTCCCTTACCATCCAGAGTGGTTTGAGAATCGTTTCGCTTCGAACTTTTACAATTTGAAAACCCTTAAAACAGGTTTTCCTTCATCGTTTCGACGGCGCTCGTTTATTTCCACTTCTGCAGCTCGTCTCTTAATACGATCAGCTAGGGTGAGATCCTCACGGAAGTGTATTCCGGATCCAACCAGTATACGTGAGTTACCTAGAATCAGGTTCCATTGATCAACCGTGGCAAACATAACGTTCAAGTGGTAGCTTCTCTTAGGAGTTTCAGAATCCAGCTTTTGTCCTATTTTATTAGGCTTACAGATACTGACTCCTGAAACTGTTTCTGGTAGTAGCTTGCTTACTTAGGACTTATTATGACTGAGGTTGTACTCAAATCTAGCCTTTGCTTCCTTATCGGAAGATTCTCTTAAATTATGAAAAATGACTGACCACTCAGTGAAGTCTGTCTTGATGCGCTGTAGAATTTTGGTTCCTAAAACGTCTCTTCCTTGCACTGCGATTTTAATTCAGCGTCAAACACAGAGGTTAAATTCTGTTTTCTTGGTTTATTTTCCTAGGTGTGACTGTGAGCCATATTCCAGTGCTTCTTTTTTCTTCTAAGACGTTTTCTGACTGGTTTAGTTATCCATGGTGGACTGTTATTCAGTCTTCGTGGCACCGGGTATGGTATGAAAGAGGACGTAACTAAACTAAACTTACTTTTAAATACAGACCATGCTTCTCGAACTGATAAGCTAGTATCTACAAACCAATCTGTCTTAGCAGCGCATTCCTGAATGGCTGGTATGTTAGCTTTCCATACATTTGGGTGGGGTGTAACCTGATTGTATATCATGTCACAAGTTCTAAACGTGAATTACAAAAGAGCATGATCGCTGTTCACTAGCGGTGGAAGAATATTTAGGTCGACAATATCCTCAGTCTCATGAGTGATTACTAAGTTCAACGGAGAAGAACCTTGGTTAGCACCAAAATGTGTGGACTTGGATACATGCTGCACTAATACATACTCCATTATTGTTATCAGGAACCTACTATCAAAAATTTATAGATCCTTCCGTGGTCATCTCAGTCCAACTAATATCAGGTGCATTAAAGCCTTCTATTATCAAGTATCTGTTATTTGCACTCCAAAGCTGAATGTGCTCTAAAATAAACCCATCAGCTAAGCATATTGGGCTGCGATATATGACACCGAACATAAATGTACCACATCCGATATCCGATTCATAGCTAATGACTTCACAAGTACGCCCTCCTTTTCTACATCGATGTCTATCACTCCTCAGGTAATGGTATCAGGATAATTCTGGAGTATTGTCTAAGTCATGGACTAATCAAGTTTCTGTCACTGCTACAATGAGTGGCCTTAACTTGTTCATCAATGCTTCTAGTTCACAGAACTTATTTTTTAGACTACGAGCGTTAGCATATAAAACTCCAAAGGTAGAACGGCCTATCCACACATGCCCTGGTAGCATTCATTTCCAAGACCTGATTATCCGAAAACCCACTAACAGGGGATCTCCCTTTCAGTCAATGAGTAAAAAGGTACCACAAGACCAACTTTAGCAAGATTCCAAACCTTAAATAAAGTACTTTAATATAAAGAAGATCAAGAATGCTTTTTATGCAGCATTAACACAAAAGCAAGGATAATCACAACAAGTACAAAATTACCGCCATTTTTGAAACGCGTCCGTTATTATTATTTTGCAGATTTGTGACTTCAAGGACGCTGTGGGTATGTTTATTCAAGTTTTAACCTAACACTTGCTAACTGCTACCATTTTTAGGAGTAAGTAGGTCTTTGTTGTATGCTTGATGCTTATATGTGTCTGATTAACTTTCCATCTCTTTCCTAGGTACTAGGCTAAGGAAACTACCATCGCCAAGTTTACTCTCACTGCTTATCGATTCCTAACAACCGTATACCTGAAGGCTGGACATAAACCTGTTTACGACTGGAAGCTTTTCAGCCTGTCCGGATATCCTATCGCAGCCATGTTCGTAGTTCTCTCGGCGTTAATTGTTGCATGTAATAATTACTTCATAATGCTTTGAGATCATAGGTTTGGATCAGATCGTATGTTATGGCGTGGGTCCGGTCATATCACCTGCTACTTTTCGAATTGGCTCAAATGATTCAAACATACTATTGCAAGGCTATATAAATATGACTTTGTCTTACACAAAGGTTAGAATCCAAATTCAGTTTCATACATTCGATTTGAAAAACTGGTCGGACGTCCGGCCATTGCGGTACTGCAATTTATGGCCAACCTTAAGGTCGTTAGTGACCTCAAGATAATTCACTTACAAGGGTCAAAGTAGTGTTATAAGTTAATTTGTAGAATTATAATTAGGATATATAGTTAGAAATTAAAGTAAAGGTTTTCACCACGAACTGATATCAACTATAATGCCGATATGTTATTCAAGTACGTGATTGAGACCTGCTACCCTTAATTCCGTTGGTTTGTCCATAAGTTGTAGTCTTGTGGAAAAAGTTGAAAGACATGCATCGGACCTAATGACAAGGTAGAAGTACTCATATTATCACAGTAGTGTTCTAAGCTTTTATGACCGAAAAAACAAATAGTGTTATGCTCCAGACTAGGACACTTGTATGTTTTTGGCATAATTGTTATGTATAGTGTGGATACTATTCAGTAATTTTTTGCATGTGTGGATGTACTAAGACTACGAGCAAAATATATTTTGATCTTATTCGTGGAATACCAGTCTCTATCTGAGATCGCTTAAGGCATAACCATTGGAAAATTAATACAGTTCAGTGATCCTTTACAAGTTTATATTCAGGACTAGGAAACACTCATATAACAAGAATACTTAATATATTGCTTGTCTGTCCAGTCGTTTTATGAAGTTCCGTTAGTTTCCACCACAAATAATAGACGATCGGCCACTTGGACCATTACACTATGCCTCTATTTAAAATTAAAACGTTGGTAGTCATCTTAATATTTCATCACAAAATGAAAGCTTTTGTGTGCAACCATTTCTATTGTTCTTAAATTTGCTTGTAAAACTATAAAACATTTCGGTTAACTTCATTTTTTTTCTTCATGTCCTTTATTACCTACATCTGACTTCGATGCATTTAGGTTAAAAAACCACCTGTTGTAGTTTCATTTGATTCGGCAACTCAGGGAAAATTTCAAGTTTCAGGTTATTTCGAAAAGGAGACAGAACGTTTGGACTTATCTTGGAAAACAGATTGGTCAAACAGTACTTGGAACCTTACATTTCAATTCGCCAAGTCTGAAAATAGTTACAACCTCAGTAAAATCAGCTTATTTTATGAACTGGTTGATTTGCCGGGTTGGTAATTCATATTTTTTGTTTTTGTTCTTAGAGTTACTTATTTTAATTGCTGTAAGTAATTCGTTGTATTAGTTAGTGTCACTTGTATCATCCCTAAAGTCCCAATATTTGACAGGAATTTGTTGTTCGATGTTCCTGTCATTAGTTTTTAAAAGACGTTTTCAGCAATATTCTTTTAGACCTATTGCTTCTTTTTAAAAATTTGACAGTTCAACTTTACAAATTTTGATTCTGTTTTTATATCTAGGCATAAGATGTGCATCAAATAACCGTTCACTATTTTCCGCTGCAATCGGTTCATACTATTCTTGTCAAGCTGAACAGAATATAGTTTTAAATCATTTCACACCGAATCCTGTAACTGTTAAACTAACTTTGTCTCAGTTGAAAGTTCAAGCATTCAGACATGGGCTAGAACCTGAATTTAATGGTATCAGTAAGTTTTCCTTAATGTTATATAAGTTTATTATTTATTGATGTAAAGGCTTATTAGCTGTGTACCGTTTGTCGTTTACGAATAATGGTCGTTCGGTGGTTATTCGATTCACTATCCTTGTTGTTTATTACCCTTGTTTTCAAGCAACAAACGGAAGTTGTTTTTATTGTTAAATGAACTTATGTGCAACACAATTCATAGGGTATATAAACTATCAGTATCTACTTCGGTTTTGTAGACAAGGCAACAATACTGACAGTTCACTGTAGTTTATACATTAATGGAAAACCAATTATATTTCGCTTTATAAAAGTTATTGTTAGTGTTTCAGGGTTTTTTCAAAGGAATCTCGACAGTCCTGATGAATACTGCTTAGTACAGTCAGTCCACACAATAGACCATCTTAAGCTTTGACCCGACTAATGGGGTTTGAGTGGAAAGCCTTGGGTAGGTTGACCTACTTCTTGGAGGAACATTCAAGGGGCAGACCACTACAAGATCTCTTTGTCAATCCTGTTGAATGCAGCTGTTTAATAAACGTTCACCATTGTGTTCGCTGAGTTAAAGTTTAAGAAGTACCGTTTACATGTCTTTCACTTGATTTCAAAGTCAAAGGTGGGGATTCCTCTGTTATATCGCTAATGAAAGACTTATCACTAACCACCCTTATCTTTATCCAGTCTGATCGCAACCTCAATCATTATCATCTAAGGAAAATGATCACTTGACTGGTACAACGTATAATTCAGTTACTGGATTTCGTAGTTTCAAAACCTGGTCATTTGACCAGAACTTCAGACATTGTCATTTCTTTACCTCGGATTGATACATAATTCTCATTTAGACATTAAAAACACAAAGTTCAGCTAAGGGATCTGTTAGCGGGACATAGATTGGATTTAAGCATGCTCAATGCACGATTGCTTTGGCGCACGCTGATTCAGTCAGTCAGTCAGCTGCAACGTAGGACCGGGCACGCTGATTGGCTGATTCTCATCCAATCAGTGCTAGTCGATACATGGAGAAGACTCTAGATTCTTATGTAAAAACTATAAATATACTAACGGTTTTCCTTTTGTGCTTCTCACTTCCATCTAACCTTGTTATTTGGAATACAATCTCTTTCTTGTTCAACCGTGTTCTGATTTGGGGACTTGTCGAGTGAATTGGTGTCCGTGAATACTAAGCAATAGGAATAGCTGGGTTAAAACCGTAAGAGCGAGAGAATTATAACAGTAGCGACGGGGAAAAAGGAAAATAAACTCAAGATGTCCATATCAGATGACCAGCTTAACCGAATACTCCAACAACAGCAAGCACAATTAGATGCACAAATGAGGTTGTTGGAGACTGATTCAACATCTCAACTTTCCCTACTCGAGTTCACATGCTATTACAAGTACGTCTTGTGATGCAGTTGTTAGCAGCATCCAAGAATTCATCTATGATCCCGAAAGCAGAAATACTTTTCTCACGTGGTTCAAACGTTGGGAAGATACATTCAGAACAGAATTCCGTAACCAAGACGATGCGTGGAAGACTCGATTGTTGGTACGTAAATTGGGAATTAATGAACATGCACGCTATGCTGACCATATATTGCCAAAGTTACCTCGAGAGCTCAGTTTCGATGAGACGATAATTCAATTGTCAGAGATATCCGGTGAATCCTCCTCATTGTTTAGTATTCGACATCAGTGTCTAAATTTGGTGAAACGCGAAGCCGATGAATATGGTGTTTTAGCAGACATTGTCAACAGAGAATGTGAACGGTTCAAGTTACGCTCGTTGACAGAAGACCAATTTAAATGCCTAATATTCATCAAAGCTCTTCAGTCACCACAAGATGCTGAGATCAGGACTAGACTTTTGGCTCGACTAGATCAAGACCCAAACGTCACACTCAGAACGTTGACAGATGAGTGTAAGCGGCTACAAAGCATCAGACATCACAACGAGTTGATTGAACAGGCAAATTCTAATTTAACCTGCAGTAGTGTCAATGTTAGTACTAGGTTAAAAGTTCAGAAGCCGATAACAACTCGTAACAAACCAACGACTGCATGTTGGTTATGTGGTGATTGGCATTATGTACGATTCTGTTCATTTAAGAAGCATATATGTCAGGTATGCAACAAACGTGGACATAAAGAAGGTCATTATCCACCGAACCGTACATCTCATCCCAAAAAGAAGCATAAACGTTCTCGACATGTGAAATCAGCTGAGCCTAACTCTTTCTCTGGTAGCTGCCTTTCAAACAAACTATGACATTCGGAGAAAATATGTTACCATCCAGATAAACGGCATATCAGCTCGTCTTCAAATTGACACGGCATCAGATATCACCTTGGTGTCTAGAGCAACGTATAACTTTCTGGGTAAACCACCAATGAAGCCATCTAAGAAAACGGCCAAAAACGCATCAGGTGGTGTGCTAAAACTGGTTGGTGAATTACAGTGTGAATTTTCCTTCAATGGAACTAACTGTACAGGAATATGTTACCTAACAGAACGGCCAAGCCTTGATCTTCTTGGTCTAGATATGTTAGATAAACTTGGAATAATGGATGTACCGATTAACAGTGTCTGCAATGTATCGTGTTCATCATCAGACACCCCAGTACTTGCAAAGAAGACAGGTGAAAGGTTACTAGAAAAACTGAAAAGAAAGTTTGCCTCTGTTTTTCAAAATAGCCTTGGCCACTGTACCAAGATGAAAGCTTACTTACCATTGAAACCAGATGCCAAACCTATTTTTCGTCCGAGACGTCCTGTACCATATGATGCTCTTGAGTTAGTCGATCAGAAACTTAATCGCTTGCAACAGGCTGGTGTAATCCAACCAGTCAACTACTCTGCATGGGCCGCACCGATCGTAGTGATTAAGAAGGCCAATGGAACTATACGCATATGTGCCGATTTCTCGACCGGTTTAAATGCTGCATTAGATGTGTATCAATATCCGTTACCAGTTCCTGAAGACCGGTTTGCCAAACTTAATGGTGGGACATGTTTCGCGAAAATAGACTTTTCCGATGCCTATCTTCAAGTAGAAGTAGATGAAGACAGTAGAGAGCTTTTGACCATTAACACTCATCGAGGGTTATTTCAATACACCCGTCTACCATTTGGCATCAAGACCGCACCTGCCATCTTTCAGCAAATAATGGATACGATGCTAACAGGTATACCTGGTACAGCAGCTTATCTAGATGATATCATAGTTATGGGTTCAACTGACAATGAACTTTCTGATCGATTACATCAAGTCCTTAATCGAGTGTTGGAATATGGTTTCCAACTACGTGAGGAAAAGTGTATATTCTTTATGCATTCCATCAAATACCTTGGTTTTATCTTAGATAAGAACGGTCGCCGACCAGACCCTGCCAACATCGAAGCCATTCAGAAGATGCCTGCACCAACTGATGTCTCTTCATTACGATCCTTCTTGGGGTTAGTCAGTCATTATAGCACATTCTTGCCTGAAATGCATCGAGTGAGGGGTCCGCTGAATGAATTACTATCAAAAGATAGACCCTGGCAGTGGTCAGCAGAATGCCAAGCATCTTTCGACAGAGTCAAATCAATGCGCAGCTCAAAGATTCTTTTGACACACTTCGATCCCAGCTTGGAAATTGTTGCATCTGATGCATCTAGTCATGGAGTTGGAGCAGTGATATCTCACGTGTTTCCGGACAAATCAGAAAAGACAATTGCCCATGCTGCTAGATCACTTATCCCAGCCGAGCGAAACTACAGTCAAATTGAAAAGGAAGCTCTTGCAATCATTTTCGCTGTCAAAAGATTTCATAAAATGCTCTATCGTCGTACATTTACTCTACTGACAGATCACAAACCTTTGATTGCAATCTTTGGTTTTAAGAAAGGAATCCCGGTCTATACGGCTAATAGACTACAGCGCTGGGCAACAATGCTCCTGAGTTATGATTTTAATATCAAGTATCATTCGACAAATACTATCGGTCAAGCCGACGCTCTCTCTCGATTAATTGGAGTTCAGCATCCTGGACCAGAGGATATAATTATTGCTTCCATAGCAGTAGACCCAGAAATACGAAGTATAGTGGCAGGTGCCATTCGAAACACTCCAGTGTCGTCAGATGAAGTCAGAGAAGAAACTCTTCGAGACCCGATTCTACAAGAAGTTAGAAAGTTTCACCTGGAAGGATGGCCCGCGAAGATCAGTTCCACAGAGCTTCAACAGTTTTACCAGCGTAGACTCATTCTCTCAATCATCGACGACTGCCTGCTGTTTGCCGGACGTGTCATAATCCCAAAGAAGCTACAACCAGCAGTGCTTGAACAGTTGCATGCAGGACATCCTGGAATAAATCGCATGAAAGCATTAGCACGAAGTTATGTATACTGGCCGCATTTAGACACCCAACTGGAGCAGCTATCCCGTTCATGTACCAAATGTGCATTAGCAACGAAAGCACCGCGAAAAGCAGAGCTGCAATCATGGCCAATACCACAGTTACCGTGGCAGCGTATACATTTGGACTTTGCTGGTCCACTTCATGGACAAACTTACCTTTTGGTAGTTGATGCATATAGCAAGTGGCCAGAAATCTTTCTCATGGAACACCCGACTGCAAGCTGCACAGTCAGTAAGCTACGTCAACTATTCAGTCGTTCCGGAGTCCCGGAATTGATAGTTAGTGTCAACGGAACACAGTTTACGTCCGTAATCTCACAATTTTGTCGGCAGAACGGAATCCATCACGTCCGAACACCTCCATTCCATCCCCAATCAAATGGTCAAGTGGAACGTTTTGTGAGTACATTTAAAAATGTTCTAAAAAAATCTAAAGGGGAGGGGACCACCGAAGAGATCTTAGAGAGGTTCCTGCTTATTTATCGCTCTACACCAAACCCTCAGACGATTAACGGGGTCTCTCCAGCAGAAGCTCTACTTGGCAGAAAATTACAAACACATTTCAATGTCATCCGTCCTACGCCAGCTCTTGAGCCTCAACGAAACCTATCGGTGAAGAATCAGTTCAATCGACATCATGGGGCACAAAGACGATTGTTCACGGTGGGACAAAAAATACTTGCTATGGACTATCGTGAGAAACATCCTACATGGACATCTGGTCGGATCTTGAAAAAGAAGGGGAGTGTGGTTTATGAGGTGTCAGTT